GATCCATTGTAACCCTGCTCCAACTCTTCCCAACAAATTCTAATCAGGGAAGAAGCCACCTGTCTTTTTTGGAAAAGAAAAAGCACATTTTTTACAATCTTCTCATACAGAGATGGTGCCTCTAGAATCGTAAGCGGAAGAATTACAGAATATTTGCAGCCTGTTCCTGTCTTTGCTGTAACTGAGTATGTGGCAACGCGCCGCTGATGTACGTTGCACAGCGTGCACACCGACAAATGGAACAGTAGGCTTTATCAGCCCTGGATTCATGGATCCAGACCAAAAAGGATGAGACAGCAAAATGCACACATGGACAATGGATCTGAAAAAAAATCCCCGGTTACTGTATAGGGAACTTTCTTTAAATGTATACCTGCTCTGCTTCCCAGGCAGTGTGCTAACAGATGCACGGCAGAATTAAATAAAATACTGTCCTAGTAAAAAAGAAAAAACCCAAACAAATAAATCAGATGCTTCTGCAGGAAGTACTGCAAAGATTCCTCTGTTTTGTACAACAGAGAGAGAAAATATCTTTGCAATTCAGATGCCCATCCGGACACCTCCCTGCTACGCACTTCCTGATTGACTTGCTCCTGCCTGGGAGCAGAGCACTAAAAACGTGGAAAGCCTGCAGGAACCAGGAGGTGTGCAGCCACTTTGAGGCCAGCAGAAGACACTGTGGTTGTGGTTTACCTGCTCCGTTTGAGACATCTGAGGTTTCTAGTAGTGGCTGCAAGGCATCCCAGCTGCTATTCTAAGCAAAGAGCCCTAAACTTTGAATTTTCCTGGATTCTTTCATCAGGAAATGGCAGATGTCAAGGCCAAACAGCATTGCTGTCTGTGCAAAACAGCCCTTTGTTTAGTACCAACGTTGCAGTTGCTATTGTTTCAGCGGGTAACAGGGAAGGTTTACATGCCTACATACATAAACTTATGGTCCTTCCATCAGCTGGAAAAGCAAAAGTGATGACATACAGGGGTATCCTACAAACCTGGGCTTTCAAGGGGTCAGAGACACTGAATTTCTGCAGCAAAAATGCCATCAGTATGATGAAATGTAATATTTTATTGATGAATTGAGACTGGCATCACCATTGATTCATTTCCAGCTACCAAAATAAAATAAAATCAGAGACTGGGACAGCCTCAGCACTGACAAGCCAACAGATGAATGATTGCCTTCATCAGTCAGAAGCCTGGATATGGGAATTTATCTATTCCCTGTTGATGTGTTTGTCAGTGCTGCTAGGCTCTTCATCAGTTATTCACGTCTCCATTGAAAGACCCATAGATGTTTCCACTATATAACAGAGGCTTGTGTTAATTTGGAATGACAAGAAATTGCGTATCTGGAGAGCACTACGGGAGCAATTACGGGGTCTGGATGATCACTTCTTTCCAGGCATTTGTAGATCTAGCTCTTGCTTCGTAAGCCTGAATCCTTTCACCATTTAGGTAATACTAGCAATACATAAGCAGGCTCCAGAAAGGCATTATCTGCTGGCAACATGCACCTGACAGCTCAGACACCTTCAGCAAAAGTTAGGGCTTTTCACCTGGGAACCCAGGATTCAGCCGAAGGGAATTACATCTTGCTCCCACCTTCTGCCACCTCAACGGAAAAACACTAGGCAGCCCCAGAAAAACATGTAGAAGCACACCTGAATCACAGGTTTACGAAGAGTCAGCTTGGTTTTCTAGCTGTTGGGGAGACATAAACCGAATACTTTGCTTGTCAATACTACTGTTGACTCAGTTTTACTAGGAGAAAAGCAGCTGCATAAGCAAAACTCGAGAGGGAGGATCGTAAGCAATTTTAAACAGAGTAGAATGTGGCAGTTCTGCTGAATATGCAGAGGAGTTCATGTACCCAGGGTAAGATGGGATTTTTCCTTAAGAAAAAGAAAAGTGAGAGCAGATTATCAATTAATACAAGAAAACATGCTATGCCCGAAAGCAGGAACATAGAATAAGTCTTGGAAAAAGGCTAAAAGTTAGATTAAAACCAGAGCTTTAACATTCTGGAGGCTGCCAGCATTGCTTTGTGCAGAAAAGGTACTTGCATCAGACAATGAAGATGATGCCTGGCAGATCTCATAAGAAAAGCACTCCCAAGGTAAATTGTATTTCCAAGGTAAAGCTTGCTGGCTAGGTTTGATAAAATTACTGCCACCCCCCCGCCCCCAGCATCATACTATTAAAATGATTTCACTCCTGCTTTCTTTGGAAAGCAATAGCAAGGCAAAGCCCCTACTGCTTTTGGCGCGGAGGGGAGTTACGGCAGGTTAGTAAACTGTGCAGATAACGACACTACGCTGCTATAAAAGCAGGCTAGTGAAGCGTGAAAAGAAGGGATTTGGAGAAAAACTCTTCCCACAAAACACGTTTGCATCATACACCGCTCTGACCAACAAGGTGTCCAGTGACTGGAAAGTATCACATAGGACAAAGGGCAACGGATTTAAACTGAAAGAGGAGAGATATAGAAATTCTTCCCTCTGAGGGCGGTGAGGCACTGGAACAGGTTGCCCAGAGAAGTTGTGGCTGCCCCATCCCTGGAAGTGTTCAAGGCCAGGTTGGATGGGGCTGTGAGCAACCTGATCTAGGGGAAGGTGTCCCTGCCCATGGCAGGGGGTTGGAACTAGGTGATCTTGAAGGTTCTTTCCAACCCAAACCATTCTGTGATTCTATGAAAAATGAAGCAGCTGGGTGGCTTTAATATCACTGTGAGGTCTGGGAGCTGAAGGGAGAGCAGTGGACAGCGCTGGCTCCGCTCCCTTTTGATAAGATGAGAGTAAAGCAGAGCCCGACTGAAGCAGCTGCTTGCTCTGCAGGTGTCTGGGTGACAAACACAGAGGAAGAAGCAATGCCAGTGTTGAGCCTCTGCAGTTTCAAGTGAAGAATGCTCTCTGGTTTAATACTCCATTCATTTACATAGAAAACTTTGCAAGCACATCCCTGAATAAGTTATCCAGAAAGCTCGAAAGGCGGTTAACGCAATTCCGGTCACGGCAGTCCGATTGCTAAAGAGATGGGAAAGTGAAGCTACATAAAAACAGTGACAGCTGCACCAGGGTGATCCAATAAAAGTACATAAATGTATATAGAAACAAAGCGCTGCATGCAAATCTGCAAAGGATATGGTCTTCTAAAATACCCCCAGAGGGAAAAAAAACATCCCAACCCACAAACTTTCACAAAAAGGTTCTCTTGTATAAAAGACAATGCAAAGTTAGGCACCAGGCTGGATCCTCCAAGAGCTAAAACCTGCTGAAGCGGAGGGTTTTGGTGCCTGATTTCTCCAGCTCTGCGTAAGCAGGGACTTTGAGCTGCCCTGACTGCTAAAAAGGCTTACCTGCCTCCAGTGCAAAGCACTTACATCTCCTTAAACCATTAAATACCTTGTACTTGCTAAAGAGAGGCTGTCTTCTTTTAGGATTTTGGGTGTTTCATTTTCCCTAGTCTAAGGAATCATTTGTTTTCTACCAATTCTGTTTCTTGCAAATGTCATTTTTGTGCTGCTCCCCAACTTCTTGCCTTGAAAGTCCTTGGAATAGAGAAAGAAAAAGACTTGCTCTGAATCCAGTTATCTGCAAATAGAAACACAGTCTGGCTGATTTGGGCATGAGGAATAAGGCAAAAGCCAAAAAGTTCTTCCTCTACCACAGATGTCTGGGTCTTGGCTTAAACACAGAAGGAAAGAAACATCTGCTGTAAGAAACCTTCTGAAATAACTCCCTCTGCCTAATTTCTCATACACCCAGCTACTATTCAGTAATATATATACATATATATATGAAAACCTCTGCAAATCACAGCAAAAGAATCAACAGGGCTGATGTTTTCTGTTAGACACACCTCACAGTGAAGTATTTTTCGGTGAGAAATCACATGATTCCTGTCAAAACTCAAGGGGAGCAGAGGACAAGCCAAATCTGCAGCATCTGGCTCAAGGACCAAATAAACGGACACAAAACTGCAACTCTGGATACATCAATGGTCTTGTTTAAGCCAGTGACAAAGAGCTTGAGAAAAGAGATTTCCAAATATCAACACGCAACGCGTCTCAGCGCTGATGACACGTTGACACCACCTATTGATAACTGCCTATGAAACAATGAGGCTCTTTTCCTACAAAACATGAGGGAATCTGCAAAAAAGCAGCTATTTCTGACAAGCCAAGGCCACGAGAAGCTGCAAGTACCACGGCTCCTCTGGCAGGAACATAACTCTGAGCGTTGCCTTTTGGCTTGCTTAACAGTTTCCTCCAGTTTTTAACTTTTTGGCATTATTTGCAGTTAATAGAGACCTGTTGTCCCATTGCTTCAGTACACCCAAATTCTCCTCTGGCATCAGTGAAAGAGGGAGAAAACGTGGGAATAAAGTCACTGGAGAGGCTTCACATGAACTGAGGATTCCTGCACATCACAGGAGTGCAGCTAAGGTACCAAAACCAGACCCTAGCCAACATTTGTGCTTTATAACACACTTGGCATCTGAACAAGTTAAGAAACAAATGCCAGTTCTGATGTTAGGGGAAAGTGGCTCTGAAACAGACAGACCAACCCAATAAGCAGCCGAGGACTTTCCATCCATTCTCATTTGGGCGAATTGCTTCTTTATAACCCAGCTAATAAAAGAACAATCCATCTTTATAGAAGCAGACGTGAAATTCTAATAGTGAAGAAATTTAGCAGCCCATACTCGCCTTACCTGATAAAGTACGTCCTTTTGGTACAGATGTCTTATTCCAAGGTCTCTCGCTAAATTAACGAGTGTAGGATCTGCAACCTTATTCCTCCCTAAATGAAGAGTAATTCCAGTACTTTTTCACATAAGTTAATAACCAAATAATAAACTGCCTAGTCTCAGCAGCTAATTAATCCAAGGTCGATCCAGTAACTAGGAATGTGCCTTCAATGTTTATTCTGGCTCCAGACCCAGTTGCCGCTCAGTGAATCTAAATTTTGAAAACTGCAGCACCCATTTCAGTAAGGACAAGCCCACACCCTGAACTGGACACTGACCACGGCATTCCCACCTCTTCCATCCTCCTTGCTGCTGGCAAAGTGTCATCTGCAAAGTCAGCATAACTCCCCACTCTGCTTAACAAGGTGCGGGTGCTTTTCTCGGGAAGATGGAGGTTGATGACTCATTTCCCAGCACGGTGTGGGACCACTGCTCCCACCGCAACTTCCCGAATTTGCCGTGAACGCCACTGACCTCTCCGTCTTGGAAGTGCTTCTTGAGCTGCTTCAGCATGACGGTGAGCTTCTTGGACTGCACCCCGCTGTAGGCCAGCAGCATGCTGCCGAACTGCCGCTCCGTGATCCGCCCCTCCACCGGGTCGTGCCGCTCAAACTGGAAGGGCCGAAAAATAAAAAAGGGAGATGAAAACAAGGCTGTGCAGCAAAAAACTCCATCCAGGGGAGGGATGTAAAAGAGACTGTTACAAAAAATTAACAATCCAGGAAACACTGCTGAAAGAGAAACGCTATATTGAATGTATAGAATATTCACTTCCCCCAAGACCATCTCCATCAATAAGTCAACATTTTCCCTACGTGCTGTTCCTTGGACAACCTCTGGAAGAAGTCTTAGTATCTCACCCTCCTAGTTTTATCTTGCAGGAGCACAGTGTTTGTAGAGCTGGACTTGAAAAGGCAGGATGATTACGTTCACTTGAAACCAAGATAGCGTCCACAGGTCTCCAAAGGGGTGAAAAGCAAGAACAAATACTGAAGTGTTCTTCACAGGCACTTCCAGCTGGGACATCTGAATAAGCATGCAAAGAATTTGGCTGCTGCAGCGACATTTTCTGATTGATCAAAAATCTTTGCCAGACTGAGCTGACGTGCAATTGTGTGCTTCAGAAGAAGCATATGTAGGAGCAGTTCCTTTATTGCTATAGAGGGGGCTGGTGGTTAATAAACCAGGAAAGAAAAGTCTTGCAAAAACTAAGTCTCACTGTAGTACTTCTCTGCTCCAAGCCCTGTAGAGCTGGATTCAGCAAGGGAAGGTTCATGGAAGTCTCCAGACCTCACCTTCCCCAGGCCCAGAAAGTTCTCCTTGTCCTACGCCCCTTCAAGACCCTTACGAACGCTGCTGTGAGACCCTCGCAGAACTTCCCACAAGCCTTTCAGCAGAGAGAGGTCATCTCTATTCATCCATCTCTCCAGCACTAGTTTATGTTCTCCTGCCTCTTGCTGCAAGGAAGAAGGGAAGAGCAATTCTCCCAACTTGAGAAGGTGCTGGGTTGGAGCACCAGGCCTCTGCTAGGTGAATAACATAGATTTTGTCTTCCCCACCCCACCACCACCCCACCCTGCTTTGTGTCTCTAGAAACATCAACATTAGACTTCAACCGATTTTGGTTTCACAGATCTAATCCCTTATTTGATTTCCTTCCAATTTATCAGAAAACACGTGACCTACACTATAGCTGATCACAAGCCAGAAGATGACATTTAACACAAAATTAATTTTTAAACTCCTACAGAACAACCCGGTGCCACTGACTTGACATTATATTGCTCGGTGAGTTAACCATTTCTGCCCTCAACCCTTCTTCTGCACTTAATTACACCGCTTACACAGGAGCCAGCTAGGCACCCAACTGAGATCGAGGTGGGGAGATGAAAGCCAGCAGATCCACCAGCCTTGCTTTCAACCCATGTGTGGGCAGAGCTCCAGACACAGCAAGCTATATGTGCTTTTAATATACAGTACTCTTCAGCTATGCTATACAGCAACTAGGCTGCTTGCAAACGAGCTATTACTATTTCCATGATAACATCAAGTTGGGGGTAAATATTTTTTTTTAGTTATTAGCATATCTGCCAGACTTTTGTGGCTTCTCCCAGTAGGGCACCAAGTGATTCCTAGTGCATTTGAAATGCATGAAGTGCCAGGGCTGGAGGGGTTTGGATGGACTGTGCTGGCAGGAGGCAGCTCCCAACCAGGCAAATTCTGCTTCTTCGCACCTTGTGCTTTCTTCTTTAGTGGCCCACGCAGTATTTGGGAAAAAGATGAAGTTTTTCACTGTCATCTCATACAGACTTTGGGGGTTACTCACGGCACAAAACATCGGCCTCTCCCCTTCTGACATGCTGGGGAAAGGAGAAGGGAAAACTCATTTGGAGGAAAAGTAGGTGTTGTTCTTTAAAAAGCAGAGGAGGTAGCCTTTTCTGCCATGTTTGAAGAATGTGAAGAAGTGTTACAATACCCAAGGGACACAAAAATTTGCAGTCAGTTCTGTTTCAAAAGCAGCACCAATGCTGTCTTCTACTGTACTATTCCTCATTTCAGCCCAAAAGACACAAACCAGTATTTTCCTACCAACCACCTTCAAATATCCCAAGTTTTAGCAGAGCATGAGACAGCATCTTTATTATAGGGTAAGAAACAGGTCTGAATGTCTCTAATCAACGTCCTAAGGGGTGAATATGTTTAGAAAAGTCTTGAGTCAGCGTCTAAAAGCCCACTGGTCCTCTCCCTCATCCGTGCATTAAAGGAGTGGGCATTGCACAGCTCCATGGCGTAACGCAAGCAGTATAGCTCCCTGCACTCTTGCAGATGGGGAAATAAAAAAGGGTTAACTCCTCACAGGTTGGTTTGTTTTTTTTGTAACTGGGTATTGGCATAGAGGTCAGATACAAAAAAAAAAAAAGAGACAAGAAAAATAAAAAAACACTTTTCATTTTTCTCCTGATGAGTCTCACACAAAGCCTTTTGGTGCCAAGTTCAAGGTAAGAAAGCAGGATTACTCTCCAAATGCCACGCTAAAGAAGTCTTAACAGGAGCACGATGATGAAACACCTTGTTTCAGCCCAGCTTCCCTCTTCCATTCCCATTTTCAGCCATGACCCTGAGATGTTCAAAGCAATTTGCCCACTGCTGCTGCAGAGGGTCTCAACAAGCTCCTCGCTCCCCTTGCTCAGGCTTTCCCAAATAAAAGATGAAGAAATACACCTCTGGTTTAAGGATTGCCTGGACAAAGTTGGTACATTAAGAATAACGCTGCGATTTCCAATCCATGTTCGCAGCCATGCACAGCTGGGAGAAAGGCAGACAAGCATGCTGTAAGCAGGATTACTTGTAAAATTCAGTGCAAACTAACTTTGGCATCTCTGATGTCACCACAGAAAGCTGATTAACTCATCTTTTTTAGTGGTATTTATTACTAAATGTTTGTAGCTAGAGAAAAAGCAGTGGAGAGAAACACTTATTCCTCCTCTGACTCGCCCTCTCAGCTTCTGGTCCTCAGGGTTTTAGGGATTTCCTTGGTGGGAAGCCGCAGCTGGACCAATATGTTTAAACAGCCACATCACAAATTTTTCCCCAGAGAGGTTGCCTGATGCCACTTGATACCCCCACTGATCCTTTTATGTTAGGAAAACCAAGGCTACTGGCTCAAAAGTTTCCCGGCAGGTACTACTGGCACGTTTTCAACAATCACTTGTGCAAGGAAAGGATGGACAGAGGTGAAGTAAAACACACAAACTCTGGGTTTGACCAATCTGGTCTAGACTGGGCACTGGGGATTCATCTTGTACTACAGGGAAAATAAAACTCAACAAGTGCTACTGCATCAGCTGTTAAAGACACGAGCCAAGGCCGGCAGGGAAAGCCCTTGTGGAGGCAAACCTTTCTAAAAGGTCTGTTAAAAATAACTCCAATATTCAAGCACGAGGATCTCACCAGCCCCGAGCAGCGCTATCAAGATGTGGAGCACAATCACCACGCTGATGCTTGTGGTATTTTTGGCGTCTTGCAAAATTTATTCAAAATCCCACCCTACTGTGATAGCCCGAGCCTTGATCACAGCAGCAGCAAGAGCCTCACCTGCAGCAGACCCACGGCCCGAGGCGAAGCAGCTTTAGTCTTTCAATTTATCGCACAGTTGGGAGATTGTGTTAAAGGACAAAATATAGACAAAGCGAATCTAAGATGAAGGAACTAAAATAACTTATTTATGCAAGTCTCTCTAAAGCACAACATCGTCCTGAGACCCTGTGAAGAAACTCATTCCCCCTCACTGGGGGATCCAAAAGTGGTTCCGACTTTTAATTTCTGCAGGTGGTCGTCAGGTGCAGGGATGAGTCAGAAAACCATACAAATATTATTCACAAGAAATAAAAAAAAAAGCCTGTAAACCGTGGAATTAATTCTTCGTATTCTGGGTTTCTCTCTCTTTAAAATAAACATCTCTAACATTAAACTGAAACACTCAGACTTCCCAAGTCGATTCCTGGCAGCCAGACCTTATGCTCTCCCAAAGACAGGCACCCAGCAGCGTTCGTTGCAGAGGCCAGCCTAGAAAGGGGCTGGCAAGAGGGAGCTGGTCAACAACCGGTTCCCAAATTCAAATATAATCACCACAGAACTGAGAAAAAGCAACAAAATCATAGTCATAAAGAAACTTGGCTTCAAATGAGTTGTGAGCAGAAAAACCTTGATTTCAGCTTCTGAAAAAAAAAAAAACCACCATCAATCCCCAACACTCCCTCTCCCACCTCCCTGTCTGGGAGCAGAGGTGCCACATCTGTGCTCTCCTGCCTTCTGGAATGGCTTCTGGCCAACTGAACACAGCTCACCCAGTGTCTCTACTTGAAAACGAAGGAAAGTGCAAAGCCTACAGTAGTTTCTCTTTCAGTACTCCATACACAGCCTATGAAGAGTATTAAGTGTTAAAATCCCTCAGGTTTTTGAAAAGGCAGGAAAACCAGTGTCCTTCCTCAGCTAATCATGATCCTTTGCCTTCATGCATGTGACGTTACAGCACAGGTTATTTTTCTAGTCACTCAGTGGGAGGAAAATAAACCTAAACCCCACAAGGATGGGATGCAGGGCAGAGCACGCTGAGATTTATTATAAGCAAACAAGTCCTCTGACAGCCTTTTTCCCTCTCGTATATTGTACAGAAAGGAAAAGCACGACCAAGGCAATCGCTCAGCCGGCATCGCAGGGCACTGGGTGGTGTGGGACAGAGCAGCTCCTGTCCACATCATCCATGGGGAAACTGGGGAGGGAACGGAGGGGGTCCTACCTCCCTCCAAATCACAGTCCTAAAAATCTACGCACACACCACAGATGGTCGGTGAGTCCAACACCTCCGGAGCAGCTTCCACTCGCAGCCACTTGGTGCCAGCAGCAGATTCTGCATCCGCACGCTGGAGAGGATACAGTAAATAACGAAATATAATGGTCTCCAGTGTTGTTCCCGCAAGCCAGGACGCCCAAGATGCTGAGGAAATTAGTCTAAAATATAATAGGCAGTATTTTGAAATTCATTAAAAGCCAAGGTGAGGTGTAAGGGACAGTGCTTCAGTCTCCTACCGCCAACCCGACCCAGTCCCCAT